CCCTGGAGGTGTCCCAGGAAGGCCTGGCCGTGGCACTCAGTGCTCTGGGCTGGGGGACAAGGTGGGGATGGGGCTCTGGGTGGACTCGATGATCTTGGAGGTCTTTTCCAACAGCACCGATCCTGTGCCCGGAGGCTGAAACACCGAAAATCCACCCAAACGAGTAAACACTAACTAAACGTCTCCACCTGGACGGACGTTCAGTCACGGCCGGCAGCCCCGCGCAGGACTACAACTCCCATCGCGCCCCGCGCGGCGCCCCGAGAAGGCGTGTCCGCAGCTGCGCCGCGGGGGCTGCCGGGAGCTGTAGTCGCGGCGGGGCGGGGCGCGGGCGGCGGGACTGCAGTTCCCGTGGTGCAGCGCGGCCCCGAGGGCGGCGGGGTGGGCCGGGCCGGGCCGGGGCGGAGCGGAGCCGGCGGCCCTTGGGGAGCCGGAGGAGGCGGCGGCAGCAACAGCGGCGGCGATGTCGGTGCAGGTGGCGGTGGCCGCGCCCGCCGTGGAGCTGAAGGAGCTCGGCGGCCCCATGGACAAGGCGGCGGGGCCGCCGTGCGAGCCCGTGGGCGCTCCCGGCGCGGGGCACGGCGTGGCCGCTGCCGCCTGCCCCGTGCCGGGCGCCGAGCGGGACGCGGCCCCGGCCCCCTCCGCCGAGCGGCCTCCGGGCAGCGGCTGCCCCGGGCTGTCCGCGGCCGCGGGGCTGTCCTCGGCCGCCGCCAAGGCGCCGCAGGCTTCGGCCATGAAGAGGAGCGACCCGCACCACCCCCAGCACCGGCACCGCGACGGCGGCGGCGACAGCGGCGGCGCCGCGGCCGAGGCGCTCGTGAGCCCCGACGGCACCGTCACCGAGGCGCCGCGCACCGTCAAGAAGGTAACGGAGGGCGCCGACCGGGGGACACCCCCCGCGGAGCGCAGGGGGCCCGGCCCGGTGCCTGGGGACGCGCCGGTGCCTCCCCCCGGGCGGGGACCGGCCACCGGCGCGGGGGTCCCCGCTGAGCCCCGAGGCGCTCCCGGGGTGCTGGGGGGATGTCCCTGTGGCCGTGCGGGTGCTCCGGTGCCGCGGCTGCGTTTGGGGGACACGTTCTCCCGTGGCTGGGGGTCCCGTCTGTGCCTTGGGCCGCCCCCCCGCCCGCCGTGTCTGTGTTGTGGGTGCGTGTGGGGTGACACTGGGTGCGTGTCCACCCCACTCCTGCACACCCGGGTGACACTGGGTGCGTGTCCACCCCACTCCTGCACACCCGGGTGACACTGGGTGCATTCACACCCCACT